TAGTGTTGAAATTTGGTGTGAATACAGCTTCGACATCCCTAAGTTGATTTTTATTCAAATTAGAGTGCTACACATGAAGGGGTGTCAACCCCTTATAGAAATAGTGGAAATTCGCTATGTTTGATTTCCAGATTTTGATGGATATACACGTTTTGAGGGCCCTTGAATCCAATTTGACCATTTTTGGTTTTTCGTCAGTATGTACGAATGTATGTATGTAAACACGATAACTCTCAAACGCAATAAGCTACGCTGAAAAAAATTGCATGTAGCGATTAAATCAAAATCAACAAATCATATCTACTTTTTGGCAAAATTTGTCAACCGAACTTACTTATTTTAAAAAACGCTGAACAACGTTCAGATATAAAATTTCAATCAAATTGCGCAACCGGAAGTGGGTTTTTACCGAAACTAATTTTCAATCGCATCCGCATAAAGTTGTATTTGAAATAGAGAAAAACGAACAAAATGTTGTATACGCTTTTATAATTATAATCATGAAAGACATTCAGATATTGAGTTTCAACCAAATCATAGTATCGGAAGTGATACATTATTAGTTTAATTTTTATCAAAAACTGTACAAAAAAAATTATTTTTTCATGTCTATCTGCTCGAATTAAAACAACACAACGGCGAGAAAGTCAAGTGCAGGCCACTTTAGTTGTTTTTACTTATGTTTATAACAAAAGGGATAGACTAGGAGACCGCCTAGCCGGCATTTTTTTTACAAAATTTTTTTATTTACCTCTTATTTATTTTCGTATACAAACTTTTCATCGTACGTTCATCCCTCATTCAATCCCATTCAGTCCATTTCTGTATCGTAGAGTTAAGACGTCGCTAGTTGAAATTTAAATTTGCGTTTTCTTCTGTAAATTTACTTACTTTCATATAAAAAAATTTTCATTCATGTGCTTTATATATTATATTTTTTTCCCATATAACATAGCGAATTTCACCTATTTTTATTAGGGGTTGACACCCCTTCATGTGTAGCACTCTAATTTTAACGAAAATCAACTTAGGGATGTCGAAGCTATATCCACACCAACTTTCAACTCAGCAACTCATGGTAAGGGGTGGATTTTATTTTTTTTTTTACCTAACATAGCGAATTTCACCTGTTTTTATTAGTGGTTGACACCCCTTCATGTGTAGCACTCTAATTTGAATAAAAATCAACTTAGGGATGTCGAAGCTATATTCACACCAAATTTCAACACTGCAACTCACGGCTAAGGGGATGGTTTTATTTCTTTTTAAAGCCGAGACTTTTTACCCTATTTTATTAGCAGTTTCAAAATTTATTCTGGAATTCTGGGATAAAGAGCAGCTAGTGACCTTCGTCGGTTAGCGACGGATTTGCGACCGTGGTGGAATTGACAAAATCCGTCGCTGAAAAGTCGTCGTAACTTCACTCCAATCGTGTAAAACATGACTCATCTGTCGAGAGAACATTTGAAATGAAGTCGTTATTAATCATTCACAAAATGCTAACCGTTGCTGATTATCTCCTAGCTGTAGAGCTTGAACATTCTGTTTACGATACGAATGAAAGACTTCGCGGTTCAATACGCGCCATGCAAAATTTTGACTTACATGTATGTTGTGTGCTATTCTTCGAGTGCTGATGGAAGGATTAGCAATGACAGAACATTAATTACAGCTTCTTCGTCCTCTACATTAACTACATGCGGTCGAATAGCTTTCGCTGGAGAAAGATTACCTGTTTCTCGAAGTCTTCTGAAAGAATTGCTAAAAACTGAATAATATGGCAAATGACGCTCTGCAAATCTTTCTTTATATTCTCGTACTGATTGTCGAGCATTTCCATTGCAAAAACCATACACGAAAATTATAGCAGCATACTCTTCAGTGCTATAAATGTACATTTTGAGAAATCACCCTGTATACAGGGTGTTCCGGTGACTCGGGGCATAAAATTAACCTCATATACTAGAGCAAAAATGATGACGATTCGTGAAAAAAAATTATTATAAAAGTCTTCAAATGGCTAAGATATGGGCCATCAAAGTTNATGTGTAGAACTCTAATTTGAATAAAAATCAACTTAGGGATGTCGAAGCTATATTCACACCAAATTTCAACACTGCAACTCACGGCTAAGGGGATGGTTTTATTTCTTTTTTAAAGTCGAGACTTTTTACCCTATTTTATTTCTATTGCAGTTTCAAAATTTATTCTGGAATTCTGGGATAAAGAGCAGCTAGTGACCTTCGTAACATTCATTTAACACAACATGATCATATTTTCTATGTTCAATCCGTTTCACTGTGCGTTTCAATCTTAGCGACGGATTTGCGACCGTGGTGGAATTGACAAAATCCGTCGCTGAAAAGTCGTCATAACTTCACTCCAATCGTCTAAAACATGATTCATCTGTCGAAAGAACATTTGAAATGAAGTCATTATTGTGGGCATGTTGTTGCAATAACCATTCACAAAATGCTAACCGTTGCTGATTATCTCTTGGCTGTAGAGCTCGAACATTCTGTTTACGATACGGATGAAAGACTTCGCGGTTTAATACGCGCCATGCAAAATTTTGACTTACATGTACATATGTTGTGTGCTATTCTTCGAGTGCTGATGGAAGGATTAGCAATGACAGCACATTAATTACAGCTTCTTCGTCCTCTACATTAACTACATGCGGTCGAATAGCTTTCGCTGGAGAAAGATGACCTGTTTCTCGAAGTCTTCTGAAAGAATCGCTAAAAACTGAATAATATGGCAAATGACGCTCTGCAAATCTTTCTTTATATTCTCGTACGGATTGTCGAGCATTTTCATTGCAAAAACTATACACGAAAATTATAGCAGCATACTCTTCAGTGCTATAAGCGTACATTTTGAGTTTCTTCTTGTATGTAATAATTAAACCTTACAGTAAACTGACATATCACAATGACAAATTTGTTTTTGTTGAATGTTTGATTACTGACTATTAATAATTTCGCTGCAGAAAACTTTAAAGTGTTATAATTTCGTAAATAATTGAAATAATTGGTAATTGGATTAGCTATCATATGTCAAAGTTTTGATGGTGAGCTAATAAATCACCTTTTTTTGAAATCCCATAAATTGCGGCCTACAAAAATTTGAAATTTGACTTGAAATACAGTCTTGTTTTAAAAAATTATAACTTATTATTTTAAGAAGTTTCAGTAGTAATTCATCATACTTTAAGCTTTAATGTGATATATAAATTATTTTTCCACCCTTATAATTAAGCCTTACAAACAGCGGAATCTTTTACAGGCTGACATTCAAACGTACAAACTTACAGTTAGCGGCACAGGTCTTTAGCTACCATTTTTATTCAAAGGAAGATAGTTTAATTCTCTGTAAGAATATTAAAGACCTTGCTCCAAACGAATTTATTGACGAATCAAAATTAAGTCTAAAAGTAATATTATTCGATACATATTTTCGTATTTATGTATTGTATACGGGGTTCATTTACCAGAAACTATTCAAATATACTGAATATNTTCGGGTGTTCGGACTGATCTTACGTTACTGTTGTTAGTAAATTTCGGCTTAAACGTCCCATTCTCCCTTAAACGGGTTTCAATCCTTAAAAATGTTTTTCGATTGGGCGCTCTGCAATTCGGAAATTTCTCCCGATAACGCTTAGCAGCTGCTACGGCGTTTCCATGACATTCCCCTAATATCAAAATCATGTCAGTTTGTTTACTAAATGTGTAACTCTCTATTTTGAATACTTAAAATTAATAAAAACTTAACTAACAAAAAACTATCATTTGTGACATTTAAAAAACATAAGCAAGTTGACAGCTCAATTTGTTTTTTTAATTGCCATGGCCAACCTTGACTTGTTCGAAGATTTCTATTTTTTAGTGTTACCATTGATATCGAAGCTTAATATTTTCGCGTATAACTCGAAAACGGTCAATGTTATCAAAATTTTCAAAGAATGATAAAAGTCTCTAAAATAAATTTTCTATTAAAAAGTACAAAAATAAATGTAGGGTTACGAGCGAACAAAAAAGTTCTGAGCAAACAAATTTTAGGGACAGCCTGTATAGCATGGTTGCCGCCGCCCGATCAAAGTCAAAATTGGTTCAATGATTTTGCTTGATATTTGTTTACCCTGTACCAAATTTCAACGCTCTACCATAAATGGTATTGAAAATATTTAGAAAAATGTGTTAAAATTTCTGAACTTTGATGGCCCATATCTTGACCATTTGAAGACTTTTATAGTAATTTTTTTTCACGAATTGTCATCATTTTTGCTCTAGTATATGAGGTTAATTTTATCCCCGAGTCACCGGAACATCCTGTATATGAAAAAATGGGTTAACTTCCGATTAATGAGGTGATTGAAATTTTGAAAGTTACTGATTCTTATTCAGATTTGTACAAAATGTTATCTATTTTTCTCTATTTAAAATGCAAGTTTATATGAAACAGTTTCGAATCCTGTTAAGGTAAATTGCAACTTCCGGTCGACAGATTTGGCCCTAAATTTGATACAGACTTATTCAATTCAACCCTGTTGCGATCGAGGTTAAGTTGATAAACATACTACTTAAAAAAATCGTATCTCTAGATCAAATTGAGGTATCATCATGAAACAGAAACCATTTTAAAATAATTTTAATTGGTATTAAATGCTTACGTTCATTTGTGTACACATACTTATAAGGAGTTAAACAAAAATGAAGAACCACGGAGAATTTTATTGAACCAATTATCGGGGTCTACGAAATTTGTAATTTGAGAACACCCCTTTTATCCGTGGCGCGATTGTTCATATTCTTTGATTATGATTTAAATGAATCGTAAATCGTAGTTGTGGTAGGAAGAGAGATTAAACTTTTTTTCCGTTATTTCACTATTTTATCAAAGTAGTCGGTTTTGGTCAGAATGAGTAAAACCACAGATAAGGAATAAATAAGAGTCGCTATTATATTGTATTTTTTTATATCAATCCAAAAAAATAATAAAATAATACTTAGATAAAGTGTAACGTTGATTTATAAATATTATAAAAGAAAATTACGAACATTAACGATTTAGCTTAATTATGTTCCTTTTCATGTGTAGCGTACCAATCGGTTTTCTGAAAAAGTACGAAACACCAAGTTAGTTTTAAAAAGAAAAATATTGTATTATTTAAATGTACCTGACATATCAATGAACAATACACCTTTCTTTTACAAGGACATTCAAATAGAGCTATCATATTACAATAGCTACATGGTAAATTAAAGCTTAAATTGTCCACCTGTAAAAAAAATATGGCCAATCTCTTATTGTTAAATATATAGATGTCAAAATAATAAGGAAATTATTTTAAATTATACTTACTGGGCTATAGCCATAACCGCTATCAATTGATGTGGTACGTGACTTTGAATTCTATAAAAAATTTATTTTATAATACAAATAGCAACAAAAAATTAAGTAAAAAAGCGAAATGCTTTATTTAAGCAGTTATTTTTACCTGCGAAATTTGCAATTTCAGTACATTCCTTTTATTCGTGGCGCGATTGTTCATATTCTTTAAATATGGTTTAAATAAATCCTTCCTTACAGACAGAGTTCCTTGACTTTTGTTGACAAACGGAGGATCTCTTATATTTGATTGTCGCAGTAAATTATTGGGGTCTTGACGTTGATTTTCTTTTGACGTCATTTGACAATGCTTTGGTTGTTGATTGGAACCATTAAAATTTGATTGATTTAAACTCCGCGAAGATAGTGTTTGATTTAGTTGTAAATTTTCAGAACATAAAATAGTAGACTGAATTGGGGCGATATTTCGGGTGATATCACATTGCGATACAACTGGATTGATATCACGTTTACGTCTCTGACTTTTTGGTTTAATTATTTTGCGTGATGGTTGAAAAATATTTGGTGAACTATATATAATTGGTGAATTTGTTGTTGTAGCAGTACCTTTTGCCAAATCTCCTAAAAAAGAATTAAACTAATTTTTGTATACACCCACAATAGAATTGAGTCATACATTGAACAAAGACACAATGGGAGTAATTGTAGTTTTCATTTGATCTGATTTCAATAGTAACATCGTTAAAGCAATTCACGCGCAATTTAACGCAAAAACTAATACAAGAAGGGCAACCATATTAACCAGTAGACAAGTATGAGAATGCAGTTAAAACAACAATTGGGGACGCAGCAATGATGACAATAGCCAAAGAAAATAAAAAAAGAGGACAACCTGGTTTGATGAAGAATGCAGAAAGGTGATAGAAGGAAGAAACATACAGTACAAGAAGTAGATAGCAAGAGCAAAAGAGAGAAATAGTTTTTGGCCTTCTCGAATTAGAAGGCCAAAAACGGGGTATAAAATATGTAGAAGCAAGAAAAGGAAATGTGAGAATAACCTAATTGCAAAAATGGAAGAGGACTTCAAAGACATTAACCCAAGATGACGTGCATATAAACGAAACAGATAGAAAGTGACCCTCAAGGCGTCCAAAAACAATTTTTCCAAACACTGCTTGCAACGGAAAAGGATGCTGTAATCAGACAAGATGTAAATCTGAGCGCTGAGGGGGAGGAAAGGACAGATCCTCCAGCATTAAAACAAGTCGAATAAGTAACCAAGACACAAAAGAATAACAAGGCACCATGAAGAGATGGAATACTCTCAGAAATCTATAAACTAGGTGATGAATACCTAACAAAACCTAGATCTATAAAAAAGGAGATAAACTGAAATGTGCTAATTATCGCGGAATATGTTCTCTATATATAGCGTACAAAATACTTGCTACATCGTTAACCAACTTTTTGCAGGAGGACAAGTACTACATAAAGCCTGAGAATATGACATTGATCATAAATTCTTAGTCTTCATAGATTTCAAACAGGTTTATAACTCGATTGGTAGAAATAAGTCGTATCAGATATTGATCGAACTAGGGATACCACATAAATTAATCAAAATGATAAAAGCAACAATGATTAACTAACAGATTTGTTTAATATCTTAAATGACTTGAAACAAGGAGACGGGCTGGCTCCCACCCTATTGAATCTAGTTCTGGAATACNGTCGTATCAGATATTGATCGAACTAGGGATACCACATAAATTAATCAAAATGATAAAAGCAACAATGATTAACTAACAGATTTGTTTAATATCTTAAATGACTTGAAACAAGGAGACGGGTTGGCTCTCACCCTATTGAATCTGGTTCTGGAATACATAGTAAAATAGATAGATGTAGGACAGGATAACTGGTTGCCTATGCAGATGACATTAATATCAGAACTGTTAATATCAAAAAGGAATAAGAAGACATGTCAGATATCGACGCAAAAGTCGATTTTTTAATACAGAATTATATACGATCGTCATGCACCCTCAAAATTTGCGTAAAACAAATCGTTTGCTTGCTCCGTGGCTCAATAACGAGATCAGAAATCTTATGCGTAAGCGCAACGTGGCTAAGGTCCTTTTTCGCCGAAACGCTTCCAATATTGATAGATAAAACTACCACATTCTACGGAACCTCTGTAACCACCGATGCAAAAATGCTACAAAAACTTACATTTATCAGAAGTTACCTTACACAACACCAAAAACGTTTTGGAAGACCATGCGTTCTTTTGGCGTAGTTGAAACTCCTTCCTCCCATAGCTTTGATGGTAATTCGTTAGGTGCATAGTTTGCTAATTCGGCCATTACTCTCGACGAATCAATCAAGAAATCAACATTGCTCACTATCCGTGGTTCTGCTCTCGTCAATTGTCGGTTTCCTTCACCATGTTAGATGAATCTCAGGTTCGGGACGCTCTTGCAAAAACACGCTCTACAAGTGTCGGTGCTGACGATGTTAACACTTTATCGAGCGCTATCCTATTAATCGGCTTTTCGAATGTCAATGCTTATGGACCGCTAGCCTATTAATCGGCTTTTCGAGTGCCAACGCTTATCGACCTGAATATTGTCTGACTATATGAGACAAACAAACATGTATAAAAGCGTAGCGATCGTCCAGTGGGATTTACTGTTCTCTTAGTAGTTAGCTGTTAGCTGTCCTCTATATATGCTTACGAATTATAATATTTTTACTTTTTACCGTTTACAATGCATAAAGATCGTCCAGATGAAGAGTTATGCTTAGATACTTTGTCAGACTATAGTTGTTATTCAGAAAGTGATAGTGATAGCAGTGATTCTTCTTCTATAAACATTCGGAAGTCGCGCAAATTATTGCCACTGCAGTCTAGCGATTGAGAAAGTGATAATGATGACACTGCTGAAGTAAACATCGATACGTGGTCAACAAATGGACAAATCAATTATTTTGGAACCTTTAAAAGGTAGGTATAAAAATTCTACCAAAATACGAAGAAAGTGTAATAGACATTGTAAAGTTATTTATTGGAAATGACTTTTTGGAATATTTGGTTACAGAATCGAATAGATATCACTATCAAATAATCAATAAATATAAAAATATCTCAAGAACGAAAAAATGGATAGACATTACGTTGCCAGAAATGAAAAAATTTTTAGGTCTAATTGTTCTACTAGTCAACTGACCCAAGCATCGAAACTCCGTTTTTTTCTAAAGTAATGAGCATAACCAGATTTATGCAGATACTGCAGAGCTGGCACTTTTGTAACAATGAAGATATACCCACACAAATTCAAACAGACTTGTAAAAATTCAGCCAGTTATAAATTATTTAAAGAATAGATTTATAGATGTGTATAAACCTTGTCAACAATTATCAGTAGATGAATGTATTATTTCGTGGCGGGGAAGACATAAAATTACATTCCTTTGAAACAAAAGCAATGAGCACAACACAATGAATAGCGAAAATTTAGCCGGTACTAGGAGCAAATACATCTTTACTGAGTGGTAGCCTCAACGATGACCGATCGATAAAGTGTTAATGTTAGGGAACTCCTTCACATCTTGGACATAATTACTCCACCATTGCTTCATATCTTTAATTACTCCATAGGGTCTTCGACCTTTCCTGCAATTTGGAAAAAGGCACTTGAACGCTTGGTGTACAATCAAGTGCAGGATTACCTTGATAAGCATAAACTAATTACAGACTATCAATCTGGTTTCCGACCAGGCCACAGTATTAGACCGGCACATCAAGGTTACTGATGATATTAAGCGTAACTGTGACGATCGACGAATAACCTTGTTAGTTTTGCTGGACTTCAGCATTTGATGCTGTGGATCATAGCTTACTGGTCTCGTCTCTGTCTGCTATGGGCTTTGCCCCTGAATGCGTTACTTGGTTTAGGTCATACCTTTCTCGACGTTCCTTTTGTGTGCGTGACACTTCATCTTCTTCTTCTGTGTTTCAAAGTCATAGTGGTGTGCCTCAGGGAAGTGTATTGGGTTCATTACTCTTTTCAATTTTTATAAACAGTGTTACCAAGTTTATTTTATGCAACTATCACTTATATGCGGATGATCTTCAAATCTATACATTAACAACTGTGAATGAGCTCCCGGTATCCATGGCGCGGCTTAATGACGATCTGTTCTGGATACTTCACTGGTCTAAATGTTTTGGCCTGAGTTTGAATATTGCCAAGACGCAAGCTATAGCATTCGGTTCAAAACCTTTACTTGCAAAATTTTACTCTTTCAATGATACGCAACTGATAGTTGGTGACAATGTTATACATTTCACCAATACGGCCAAAAACTTGCAGGTGACAATGGAGGAAGGTCTATTTTTGTTTTCATTCCTTGCGTAAACTTGTTTGTTTCCTTCCCCAGTATACTTGTACACGAACTTTCAAATCATGTCGTCTCGTGGTCTGCCTACTAGAGTACAGTCTGATACGTTACTCATATTTCCCATTCATCGCTCCGAGAGATATCAAGGATCTTTCACAGTGCAGGCTATAAAGCTTTGGAATGGTTTACCCATGGAAACACGCAATATTCGTAGTTTTCTAACGTTAAAGGTCTGATTAAGGGATTATCTATTAACGCTACAATTATCTGAATCTAATTCTTGATATCACCTGCTTCTCTTCTCTTTTCTTTTTTTCTTTTCTCTTTTTTTCCCTCCTCTCTATCAACTGTACTGGTTGTGTTTATTCTTTTTTTTCTTTTTGGTTAAATGTTGAATTATTTAATAATGCCATATTGATTTTTTTTACATACATTGCTGGTTGGGTCTTTTGGAGGATATGTATACATATATATTATTTTTCTCCTGTATTAGCTATATGGCAATAAACTTATTATACCGCCGAGAAGATAGCAACAAACCGCTCAGCAACAAACCTTTTCATTTATATTTCCACCTACTTCTAGGGCCCATATCTTTGTTATCTAGAAAGATAGCGAAAAACTAAGCACACGGTTGGAAAGCTTGATCGTTTCTCTATCTTAAACCCGTTTTCGTCCGCCGATATGTTGATAATAAGACCAAGAAAAAATAAGAAACGTCGCGCTGCATTCAATTTACCTCAAAATTACCAAACTTCGCGGCCTTGTGCAGATGTTACCAGATGGAAATTCAATAAATGGCTTACATATTCGGAAAGAGCTGACCTTGGACTATCTTATTTCGAGTTTTCGTCCGGCAATATCTATCAGCGTCTGCAAGAAAAACGCACCTGAAAAAGCCCCTACCGATGAAAACACGTAAATATTTCTTGCACGAATAACTTTTCTATTTGACAGGGAGAAAACTCTACAACTATATTCAGCTTATGGGAAATTTTCTGCTCTTTCCAACGGTGTGCAACGCACTTCGCTTACGCGTTTTTTAAATTGATAAACTAAATAACTTAAAATGCAAAGTTACCAGATTCGAAACCATCAAAACACAATTTCAGATTCTGATAAAATAGGTGTAACATGAAATAATCTTTCCGTTTTGAACAGATTAACATGTTTCTAAACGTAAAACTAAAACTAGAACTAATACTAGCGCTATCACTAGAACTACCACTAGATCTAGAACTAGAAACTTTCGGGTTCTTGTTTTCTGAAGAAGGTTGCAACATGGCATCCGACACGTCAAACATTTTATTAACACCGGCCGTGAAAGCCTTCGTACTTATGTATATGTTTTTAAACGGTTTTAAATAAATTAAGAGTGAATGAAAAATTATTTGTCAACATAAAATGAAGTTAGGATTCTCTCTCGGGTAAAACTTTGTCCCAATTTTTCCTTCATCAAATAAGAAAATTAGGATAAGAAGTGTTGCGTTCTGCTACCTGTAGGTTGTCTTTCAGGTGTGTTTCTTTTACAGACGCCGGCAAATATTGCCGGACGAAAACTCGAAATAAGACAGGCTAAAGTTAGCTCTTTTCGAATGTGTAATAGTAAACCATTTGTTGAATTTCCTTCTGATAACGACTGCACAAAGCCTTAAAGTGGGGCAATTTTGAGGTGATTTAAATGTAGTGTGTCGTTTCTTATTTTTTTCTGCTCTTATTATTAATATATCGGCGGACGAAAACATGGTTTAAGATATAGAAAAGACCAAGCTTTCCAACCGTGTGCTTAGTTTTTCGCTATCTTTCTAGATAACGAAGATATGGGCCCTAGAAGTAGGTGGAAATATAAAGGAAAAAGTTTGTGGCTGAGTAGTTTGTTGCTATCGTCTCGCCGGTTATTATTATTAAGATATACGCAGCATATTAGAGGACAATGTAGAGACAGTTCATTTGATACAGAAGAGAAAAGAATTTGTAGGATTATTATCCTACAAATTTTCCTCTACGCATAGCAAACAAAGCCTATTTCGCAAGATCCCACGCATTAAAATTCAAAAACGTACACCACAATAACAAGTTACGACAACAAATCACGAACAGTTACAGTAGCTGGGACATGTGATACGAATGAAGGGAGAAAGGTTGCCAAAGAGGATCTTGAATAGCTGAATTTATGTAATCTGCTGAATTTGAGTTGGAGGAGGACAACAAGAGATAGACAGATGTGGAGTCAGAAAATAAATGAAGAATATAATAAAATATAATAAAAATACTGTTACTACGCCGATAATGCCATACTCATGGCAGAAATTGAAAACAATAAGTTCAAATTGCACTTATTTGGGAGTCGCAAGCACCAGATCTGCATCAAGAAGTCCGTGCTCAAACCAATAAAGAGGCGAGAATCAGGCAACTTAAGAGACCTTATATAAGCAAATAAATACATGTCAATAGAAGATAAAGTTCAAATCTACAAGTGAATTATGAAACCGGTTATAACATACACGGCGAAAACTCGGACAGAGACTTCTAAAATAAAACATATAGTTGGAAGTGTAGAAATGAGATCATTGCGACCGATTAGAGGAGTATTGTAATATTACAAAAACCCAATTATCAGGGGTGTTATTAGATTCGCAAGATCAAGACGAAGGTACTGGAGATACGATTATGTTCTTTTCTTTGGTGTTAACTCTTCGTTTTAACTTTTGCTTTATTATCCTATTCTTGCACTTGGAATGGGAACGAGTCAAGGAACTATCACCGTATTTGAGCCTGATGAAAGATAACCTCGTTTATACTCAAACTCGACGTTCATCGCATAGATTTTAAAAGTAAACTTACACTTAATTTTCTTGCATTTTTGAATAACTTTTACACATTAACAACTCTTCATAGAAGCTCAAACATTCGTACTAAGCCTCTCTAAATTTTAAGTCCTAATCATTACTAATCGTTTAATTTAAATACAAAAAATGAGTAATTGACTTATTTTATGTGTCATATTTATTTGATATTGAATAAAAATAATATTATGAATCTTACCTAAATTACTGGTTTCACTTGGCAAATAAGGTGAAGTAATTCCTATAAAAAAAATATAATAATCACTATAAAATAATATTTATTAATTTACAACTCACTGTATTTAGTAACAGTTATCAAAGAATCATCACCATCAACATTTAGCTCTATATTTTTATTCTCGCTTAAAAAGGAATCTGATTCCTTCTCCACCAATTGATTAATTTTTCTACACAATTCGTTTGTGTTGTTTCCATCAAAAGTAATTTTCAACGTCGAAATAACGTCACGCATCGAACAACGAATATTGGCCATAGCAATTTTTTCAAAAACTCTCTTAATTAGTTCTTTCACGTCAATATTTGTACACTGAATACGTTTGCAAGTATCTCTAAACTTTTGCTTTAAGTCGTCTCGATATTGAGTTAAACAATTTAGAATTTTTATACGTTTAGTTATTTCAAAAAACCACACAAGATAGTCAGTAAATTTTCTTACAAGTGCATTAAAATCGGGTGGTATCGCGATATTTTTAGAATCATTTAGGGTATTTATAAATGTTAATGTTGCTTTGTTGTATAGATTTGATAGTATTGATATTGACGCTGTATGTTTTGTTGGAGATTCCGTTACCAACGATTCAGTTTTTTCAAACATTATGTTATCAATACATTCTGTTGTATGATTTATTTTAATACCTTGTTTATGTTTTTTTGGTACTTTATCCCGACAAAATATATCGTCTTTATTTTTGTGTTTCCTTTTCTTTCTCTCGTTGAAGTTTTTATCAGAATTTGTTATGCTATCTGGAAGTTGCGCAATTTCTTTTAGTAAATGTTTTATTGTTGTTGCCTTTGAAGAATGTTCTTGCGATTTGTGATCAATGTTTTTTGTTGGTGTAGAGTTGGGAACCTTAACATTAAGTTTTAATTGATCATCTTTCATTAATTTTGTGTGCATCTTTTTATCGACAACTTTTTTGTCAGAACTTATAATATCTTTTGGTAATGTTTTTGAGGTGGTCTTTAAAGAGTATCTCTTTGATTTATGATCAATTTTTTTATTTGATGTAGATATGGAGTCAGAAACATTAAGTTTGACTTGTTCATTCTTTTTCCCTGTATCTTTGTTTTTATTGGAAAGTTTCTCATTTTCTTTTGATAAACTTTTAGAAGCTGTCTTAGAACGATGGTGTTTTGATTTATGAGAACTTTCTTTTAAGGAAATTGCAATTGAATTTGAAACGTCAATATTATGGTTTATTTGATCATTAATTAATGTAAGATCTTTAACTGAAAAGCAATTTTTGTAATTGCATGAGCAATTTGGATGTAATTCAGTGCAAATGTTTATAAAGACTTGGCGAACTTCCTTTTTAACTAATTTTTTTTCCCTTTCGATATCGTTTTTATCACGACTTGATAGCTTTTTATTTTTTTCTTCCTTTTTTAATAAACTTCTGGAAGATGTGTTTGAAGAATGCTTTCTTGATTTATGACCTGATTTATGATCTGGATTTATCTTAGAAGACTTTGAAATTTTATCGAAAACCTCATTTTTCACAAATTCTACTTTTTTGTAGTTTCGCCGTGGGTCATTTGGAAGTAATTCAGTGTACAATTTTATTGGGGCATTTGGTAAGTCGATTAAGTATGGTTTATTGTAAGTTGGCTTATTATCTTTGAAGTCATCAGTTTCAGCAAACTTCAACATATTTCGAAACTTATTTCTGACACGTTGAAAATTTTCATCGAAATCTTCAGATTTTTTGACATCGTTACAATTGATTGTAAAGTTTCTGACTCTAGCTAAATCTTCAGAATAGTCTACAGCTCCGGTTTCTAATTTTGCGCTTTTATTTGGATTTGAATGTTCCAAAATCTTATTAAAGGCTTTGACATCATCAGATGTCAAGCTACCACATATTTCAAATATCGTTTGGTAGAAATTTGTTGGACCAATATTATTATTTATTGCTGCAGAGTGACAATCTTCTCTCTCTCCACCTTCAGGATCTTTTTTAAGTTTATAATAATTTTCCATGTCCTTTTCGACGTTCTCTTCCTCTGAATCACTTATTTCAATAATATCATTCATTTCTTTAGTGTCGTACAACTTAATATAACAGTTAATTGCGTCATAACCTATCAAATTTCATCTACAGTTGGAGATATTTATCTTTATGTTCTTTAAAATTTCGACGACTTTTGTAGTAATTATAATGTCTGCTATAATTGCTGCGAACAACAAAAAATTTTTAATCTATTGTTATAATAATTGTAAGCACAAGAAGAAAAAATTAAAGAACAACTTGAAAAACAGGAAATGTCCGAGATTTTATATATCCTATAGATACATATCGTGTTTAATACAGTTGTTTAATACTTATCAATTGTAATTTTTAAAATATTGCGTAATAAATTCTTACCAGCGATTAGTCTTCACCTCAATTATATCCGATGTAATATTATGTAACACAAGATTAACACAGGTGACGATGAACTTTTTTTAAACACTTATTAAAATATATCCGCTTGTGATATTAAATCATTAAAATGCTTATGTATTTCTAAAGTACGTATACACCGAAACCATGTAAACACCACCACTATTAATATACAACTGCAACAGCGTAAACCGCGTAAACCAATGTTATCAACAGGAAAGATACGTTTGCAACAGGATATTAAAAAGATAAATTCTAGTGTTGGTTAGATAGTTTCTTTAAAAATTTTAATTAACGGAAACGTAGTTGTACAGATGAATAGATATTTAACGCGCGCAAAATGTGATTATTTTGGAAAAAGTTATGTTAAGTACCCTGGGAACAGGATGTGACATCTCTTATCATTTCTAGCACTCGCCACCTTATAAAATATTTTAAAATATTTTCGATTAAGACATCCCGCAAGTCTTTACTCTTTCCTGACTATCGATGCTGTTATCCTAAATGATATAAACATATTCAAAATATATATCCCTTTAACATCCGACCCTTACCACTACCTCCAGCTAAACCCCACCTTTAGAAAAAACTATACCTTCATACCAGAAACACCCTATTACTTATTCAACACGAAAAACAATTGGAACGTTAAGAAGCAATATGACAAAATCGAAAACCAATACCTATGTCCACGTAAAGATCTCATTAAGAGGCCTACCTAGCTGGCGAAAAATTCGAAATGAGATTCGCTCGTGAACACGCCTAATTCGGCAACACCGCTCCATGTGTACTCGATCGGGCCAACGCGCCAGGCAAGGTCTATAGAACATAAGGTTACCCAATACCGATTCTCCTCCTCTGAGAGGCAAGGTGGGTCAGTGACGTAGCTGGTTCTATGAACAACACAACACGATGCGAGGTTTAAATATTTTATATAGACTGTACCACAGTATAGGCACGTGTATAGGCTATCTTTTATTCTGACTGTATCGAACCAGTGACGTCAATTTGCGGGGTAATAATCGATACTACAGAGGCATAGGGAATGAGGTAACCTTATGTTCTATAAACCTTGCGCGCCAGGCCGATGGCGACTAGGACTGTCCGATTGTCGGGTAATTCCCCGACAATCGGCGACGTTGATTTTATTCTTAGTTGAATGCATTTGAATACAAGTCGGGGCCGCTTTTTGGAACATAGCTGTTTATTACTAGTATTTCATTATTATCGATTGTTAGTTAAAATCATATATTTTCTCGAAAAGGGATGTTGGTGGATGCCGATCTTATCAGTTTCTTCATTATAAAATTGCACAGTATACCAAATTTTATCTGTATATGACAAATCATTGAAATTATTGATGTAATCTATACCTTAGCCATTTATTGATTTATACAGGGTGATTTATCAGCTCACCATCAAACTTTGTCATATGATAGCTAATCCAATTACAAAAANATTTACCACATTTCGATAGCTATTTTCGTTTTCAGCCTATAACCGAATATATATATTTCGCCCCGATTTCCAACCCTTATAACTCGCCCCAGGGGCTTTATTAGCACGTAAAAAAATACGTAAATCTTATTTTTGGCCATACTATCGCTGTACCAAATTTCAACAAAATCGGTGAGGGACAGTTCTGATACTTCCCTTTGAGTCAGAGTCTCAATAAAAAGTTTAAATTTCAGTGGGGATTTCATTAAAACGGTTGTACAGTTCGCCAATGTAGGTGTCCCTTTTCTTTAAGTCTAGTAACTTTAAGTTTCTGAGTGTTATGTTTTAGGTTTCTGTACCTTCTCAATGACATGAACAAGGTTTAATATCACACTTTCAAATTGAGTTAATTACACATCAGTTAGATTTAAGAAAAAAATAAAACGTATTATAAAAAGTATACCAGCGCAATTAAATTATACATTTGATGTTACTTTGAAGTCAGGTTGGCCGAGCGGTCTAAGGCGCCAGATTTAAGCTCTGGTTCCCAAACGGGAGCGTGGGTTCGAACCCCACACCTAACAGCTTTTTTGGATTGTCTTTGAAAAGAATGTTTTTAGTTATTTGGAACAGTTTATCGTTGTAAATCGAGAAAGTTAAGGCGCTTTAATCGAGACTTTATACAGGTGTTTCATGAAGAATGCTACATACGTTAATATTTATTTATTTATTTCATTATTTGGGATACATACAGGCAATCCCCACAACAGTGTCCGCTAAAATAGAAAAAAACAAAATTAAAAAAAAATACTAAAGAACTCAATTACAATTTTTGCAACTAAAAGGTAACAGGAATGATATTCAATAATAGTATATTATTATATGAGCATATAATGAGGGCTATTATTCACGAAGGTTAAGTTTATGTCACGAGCGTAGCGAGTGGCATAATTAACCTGAGAAAGTAATAAAAAAAAGTAATAGTTCCATTAATGAATTATCTGAACGAGTTGGGCTAATTTTACCGGAGAATGTATTTCTTAGATTTATTGATTCATTAAAATTTAAATATAACAAAGTGTTCAAAGTAACTAAAAACATTAATCGCAAAAAACTTGACCTCTTGTTGGCTAAGTCTAGGGTGGATAATAAGGTTTGTATTAATAATAAAAAATGGTTAGTTAATTTAACTAATATTAGTGTTCCTGCGGATGTGTCGACCTTACTGTCTTTAGGTCCTAAATTTCATCTACCAACAAATAGCTTTAACTTTAACTTAAAACGTTTGCTAATGTTCTTAGAAAATATCATTTACAATGTAAATCCGTCACAGCGGAATATAGTGAGGGCTAAATTAACGAATATTATCACTAATTATCAATGTTCCCGCGAAGCGTGTGATGGGTTGCACGGTAGACTAAATGAAATGTTAATTAACACAACAAAATTCATTAAAGAAAACCCTTCAGTTATTATAACAAAAGCTGATAAGGGGGCTACTACAGTTCTTATGGATAGAGATTCTTATCTATATAAAAGGTGCCACAGAAATGTTGGGAGACACAAAAGTCTATAAGGTCCTCAACAAAAACCCTCTTAATAACATACAAAGCAAAATTAATAAGTTTATTAAACATCTGTATGAACAGAAATTCATCAATGATGGTGAACTTAAGAGGTTGACTAAACATAAGTCTATTCTGGCTAAGGCTTACTTCTTACCTAAGATCCATAAGGATGGAATACCATTAAGACCTATCATTTCGTCTATCGGCACGGCGTCGTGCGGTTTGTCGGGATACATGGCGGATTTGCTAAGCTCAGCCTTCAGCAAGAGGACTAACTACAATATCAGTAATACTTTTGATTTTGTTAATGACTTTAAAGGTTACAAACTTCCACAGGATCACATTTTGATTTCACTTGATGTCGTGAGCCTTTTTACGGTTATTCCGTTGGATTTAGTCAATAAGATTGTCGTGGATAAATGGGAGTTGACTGCGCAACATTGTAGTTGGAATGAGAACACTTTTTTGTCAGGTTTGAAGTTGATTTTTGATACCTCCATTTTCACTTATAATAACGTAGTATACCACCAGGTTGAAGGTACCCCGATGGGCTCAAAAATTTCTCCGGTCTTAGCCTTACTTGTTATGGATTTTGTAATTGATGAAGTTTTAAAATTAAACAATACAAACTTTAGAATTGATTTCATTAAGAAATACGTTGACGACTTAATTTTGGGTGTACACAGGGATGATATTGACATAGTTTTAGAATCATTTAACAACTTCCATCCGAGCATTCAATTTACCATAGAGGTTGAGAAAGATAATAGTATTCCTTTTCTTGATACGAGATTAATACGTAATGAAGATAATGTTATTCTTTTTAATTGGTATGTCAAACCAACTTATTCGGGGAGGTATTTGCATTTTCAGTCAGATCATAATTTTGGACATAAAGTATCAACTGTTTTAGCGATGAAGCACAGAGTGACACAGATTTGTGATCCTATATTCCTTAAAGATAATCTAACTTTTTTGAGAGACACTTTTATTAACAATGGTTATCCGTCCAATCTGCTTAACAAACTTCTGTTTTCATCTAATATACATAATCA